AAATCATTTTTCAACATATATTAGTAAGGCAGTAATGTAATATATATTATTATTAGAATTAGAGAGGCTAAAAATAGTTTGTAAATGAAACAGAATTTGTAGAAGAGTATTATTAAATAGGTATAAAAAAATGATTAACAGCGAAAAGCTAGGAATAAGTAATCTGATCGATGCTTTGAAAGATCATGATTGATGCTAGAAGTGCATATTGAAATATTGAATAATGGATACAATAAATTACGGAGGAACATATAGAATATAAACTGGAACTCTTTCTGCTGGGAATAACCAAATATAGAAAGAAAATTAAATGCCTACTAATAAACCTGTTGATTACAGCCAGAATAACATTTGCCCAATGCTGGAAACAAAGTAATATCCTCCCAGATGAATTAGTGATTCAGAAAATTTTAGATTGCGCAGAAATGGACAAGTTAACATTAAGATTAAAAGACAAAGAAGAGTTTGAATACTATGAAATTTGGGATAATTGTCTAAATGGTTGCATAACAGGACTAAAGTTAATTCAGCTAAGAAACAATAAAGAAATGTATAGAACTGTAGATGAATACATAGGAATATAGAAGTGATATAAGATTGATGTATACAGGTATGACAACATAACAATGTTAATGTGATGATTGTAAGATGTTATAGAGTAAAAAGGCAATTTAAAAATCTGCTTAAAGAAAGAAATATTGAATAATGAAAAAAGGAAGGATCAGATCTCAGAATATTAGAATGATAGGGAGAAGCGGGGGCTAAAATAGCAGTAGAAATAAGAGAGGGAAAATAGCAGAAACAAATGTTAAGATGACACAATGTAGGGTATAACTATGAGAAGGTTTAGAATTGAAGGACGAGAGTAGAAATGACGTGTTAGCAAAACTAAAAATGACAATGAAATGTAATTACTAGGAATACTACTGTGATGTTTATTGGTATTGAATAAGACACTCGGGAATCAAACCATTCACGCAATGAGATGTATAAAAATGTATAAAAATAAAAACTTTTTTTTAAAAGTAGCCAAGGTGGTGGTGGGGGAAACGTTGGTTTAGAACAACCTTTCGGACCTCAGGGACCACTAAATTCCTAATTTTAAATCCCGCGGACCATAATATGATTATTTTTTTTTTTTAAGATAAATATTATTTAGTGGAATATTTTTTAAAAATGCAAATGATTTCTCTGAGGACCACTAGTTCTAGGTTCATAGGGGACACAGCGCTCCCCGTTGGTGCTGAGGTGGTATTGCACCTCTTCATTCTCTCAGCCCCCCCCCCCTTAAATTGGGGGTGGGTGGGTTTGAGGGTTTTGGAAGCCCCCTTTAAAAGGGGGAGGGTCCCAATCCAAGCTGCATCCCAGCTGTGACGTTCAGACTCCGCCCACTTCCTTTTGGGAAGAGGGATTGCCCCCTGGTGGCCTCCTGTGGGAATGCCTGACTCCTTTAGTGAGGCAGAGAACTGGGCTGGCACAGTTTTTGCGAAACCTTGCCCCGTTTTGGCAGGGGGCGCCGAGGGTGAGTTGGGGAGGGGGGGAAGACAAGGCTGCAGCACTCAGGTTCCCCATCTTTGTGAGGGGATGGGTGCTCATCCTTCCAGGGACCCCCCTTCAGGGCTTTCTGGGGGCCCAGCAGGGATGGCCACAGAAGTCCAGCGGGCATCCCTCTCTGGTGCTTAGACTTGGCATTAGAAGCGCCAGGTGGCTCCGGGGCGGGAGGCATCTACTGCCTTGACAACCATATGCCCACCGACATCCCCCCCCTTTCCTCTCTGCGCAGGCGTCTTGAGTTCGACATCCAATTTGCCACCCGCATGATGTGATAGTAATTGCCCATCAATTTAACGGTATCGCGTTGCTACGGAAACTCTGGGGTGCGTGCGATTGGGGGGGAGGTTCCTCTGGCCGCCACGGGCCCCCATCTCACCTGAGCGTGGAGCCTCTGAGCATACACCGAGTGTCTTTCATCCTGGCCCCCAGCTGGGCCACCTTTGCGTGTAGGGGAAGGAGAGGACCGGTTGCCGATAGCATCGACATCCCGTTGCCAGGGTTACCGAGGATGGATGGGGAGGAGAGCCTAGCTGGGGAAGGGGTCTCATGCTTTTGGGAAGCCCTCCCCTTGAAGGCGTGGCTGCCAGAGACAGGAGGGGAGGCAGTTTCACGGGGTGACTCTGCCTAAAAAGAGACCCTCCCCACGCAGCTAACGGCGCATGGACCTCTGGTGCGTCCTGGCTCAGTTGGGGGGGGGGATGATGCTTTCAAGCCCCCTCCCCAACCACTTTCCCTGCATGGAATGTCCCCTGCTGACCAAGGGATGGGCCAGTGCCCAAAGCTCTTGTGACATCAACAGGCCTGGATTACCCCCTCCCCAGCCCCCCAATAAAGGGTCTGGTTTAGAGAGCTTTTCCTGTGTGGATTCTTTCCCCCCTACAAACTTTTCTCTCCTCCCCACTGCAGGAAAAATGATGGGCTGCCCCACTCCTCCTCCAGCGGACCCCTAGAGCTGCCCAGAAGGATCTCCCCCCCTTCACACCCCACATTTCTCCATCCCAAGGTAAGAGTTTTCATAGCTGGTTTTTTTTTTTTTTTTGAGGAGGGGGGGGCATGTCCACATTTCTGGTACTCTGTGTCCTTAGTTGTCCTCAGAGCTGAAATGAGGAGGGGGCCTGTGGGAAGTCACCTCCATGACCCAGGGGGAAGGGAGGGGGAGCTGTTCACCAGACAGGCCTCCTGCAGCCTGGCTGACGGCTTTCTACCAGCCCTGCAGGGTAGGCCTTCTGGTATCTCTCAGGTAGGGAGGAGGGTCCTCAGTATGGCCCAGAGCTCAGGAGGACCAGAACTGGGGAAGGGTGCCTGGAGTGGAGGCCTTTTCGGATAGCATGAGCCGGTGGAACCGCCTGCCTCATGAAAGTGGCAAGAATAAAAAACTTCTGTGGGAGTGCCTTCCTTGCTTCCTCCTGCAGGATCAGGGACTGGCCTCCCAGTGCCCGGCTGGGGAAGGCTGGGGAAATCCACGGGGCAGGTAGGAAGCCGCTGTGCTTATAAATGGGGGAAGGTTTTAGGGTAGGGGGAGGCCTTTTGGGAGCAAGGGAGGGAGGGAGGGGGAGCCGGTTGCCAAGGCAATGTGCCCACCTGCCAATGGGAACCTAGCAAAGACGGCTGCAGGATCCACAGGGCAGCTCCCTCCTCTGATTTTTTCCCCCATGGACGCTATCCCCTCTCGTTCGCCTGCCCCCCCCTCTGCAAATGGCTCCCTATCGGGTGCTTCCCAAAAAGCTTCCTTTCCCCCCTCTTTTCTCCTTCCCCTCTCTTTCCCCCACTCCTCCTTTTTCCTCCTCCTCCTTCCCCTCTCTCCTACTCTTACTTCTCCTTCCTTCCTTCCTTCCTTCCTTCCTTCCTTCCTCTGCTTTGCCCTTTCTTCCTTTTCCTCCTCATTTCTTCTTCCCCTCTCTTTCCCCCCCAACCTCCTCCTCCTTCCCCTCTCTCCTATTCTTACTTCTCTTCCTTCCTCTGCTTTGCCCTTTCTTCCTTTTCCTCCTCATTTCTTCTTCCCCTCTCTTTCCCCCACTCCTCTCTTCTCCTTCTTACCCTCTCTCCTACTCTTACTTTCCTTCCTTCCTTCCTTCCTTCCTTCCTTCCTTCCTTCCTCTGCTTTACTCTTTCTTCCTTTCCCTCCTCTTTTCTCCTTCCCCTCTCTTTCCCCCACTCCTCCTCTCTTCACCTCCTTCTTCCCTTCTCTCTTACTCTTACTTCTCCTTCCTTCCTTCCTTCCTTCCTTCCTTCCTTCCTTCCTCTGCTTTACTCTTTCTTCCTTTCCTTCCTCATTTCTTCTTCCCCTCTCTTTCCCCCCCAACCTCCTCTCTTCTCCTCCTTCTTCCCCTCTCTCCTAACTTCTCCTTCCTTCCTTCCTTCCTTCCTTCCTTCCTTCCTTCCTTCCTTCTTTCCTCTGCTTTGCCCTTTCTTCCTTTCCTTCTTCATCCTCCCTTCTTTCCATTGCTGCCCTTGCTTATTGCCTTCTCTGATGGGTTCTTGGGGTGGCATTTCAGCGATCCCAACTTTATATTTACTTTAAAAAATAATTTTCTCTGTAGCCTTGCTCCCCACCCACTCCTCGGTGAAGATGGGCAGTTTGGGGTTGAGCATGGGAGACAGACCAGTATCTCCAGAAGGGGGTCAGCCATAGGGAAGGAGAATGTGGGGAGGGGGCACAGATTTTCCCTAGTCGTCCATTGGCAATTTAGTCCAGAGGAATGTATTTGTGTGTGTCTGTCTGTTGTCTGTCTGTCTGTGTATGGTATAATTTGTATAGGGTCTCCCACCTGAGCAGAGGGTTGGACTAGATGACCTACAAGGTCCCTTCTAACTCTTGTTATTCTGTATTCTCCGCATGCCCCAAGGGAAGCCATGAAAGACCCATTCAGCTTTTATTTCTCTTTTAATTCGGCGGCCAAATGCCAGCATTACAGGTGGGATTTGGGGGGGCTGCTCTCCTGTAGCCCCTCTGTGTCCTCAGTCCCCCCCCCCAGTGTTGTTTTACCAACATATCCGCCTTTGCTGGTTTGTCCTTTTGGGGGGGGGTGTAGCTGCAACCCCCTTCCATCCGTGAGGAAAACCATCATCCTCATCCGAGGCTTCCTGGATGGATTCGATCCTGGCCGAGCCCCCTCCCCAATGGCAGCCCCCCCTGCCATTCATCCCCTTCAGTTGCCATGGTGACCCTTTGCCCACCCTCTTCCCTCCTGCCCCCCCTCCCTCTAGAAAGACCTGCCTCCTCCTGGCCCAGCCACCTGGTTGGCGGCCCAATGGCTGCACGGCCAGAGGCCAGGCGTGTGCGGCTTGCCCCTCCCTCCCCTCCCCTCCCCTCCCCTTGGAGGAAGGAGCCAGATCAACCTGGCGGGAGGTGCTGTGCAGCTCCCTCCTCCCTCCCTCCATCCCCTCCTCCCCTGCAGCGCGTGGGGAGAAGGATGTGGTCTGACCCACCTTGTGTGTAGGGAGAGGAGAGGAGAGAGAGAGAGCCAATGGCGGATCCCCTCCCAAAGCCCCCCCAGTGGAGGGGGGCTGACGAGGACCCAGGGGGCTGGAGTGTGAGTAGCCACTGCTCCAGGGGGCTCCTCAACCCCTTTGGCTCTTCCCACCGAGAGTCCTCGGGGAAAGAGGGGTGGTGGGGAGAAGAGGGGCTGGCAGGAAGGGACCCATCTGCCTTTGATGGAGAATCCTGGACCGTGGGGGTCTCCCTCTCCCAAGGTTCCCCCCCTTCCACCGCTGCCTACCCCCTTGCCCTGGGAGAGGATCCGGTACATGAGCCCCCTTTGTGCCTCTTCTGGGTTGGAGAAGAAGAAGGAAGCTTTGGCTGGCGAATTGGGGTGGGGGGCTTCCAGTTCAGGGTCTGGAAGCCCCTCCCCAGCCACCCCCAGCCTCGTCTCTCTCTCTCTCTCTCTCTCTCTCTCTCTCTCTTTCTCTCACTCTCTCTCTCTCTGCAGAACACCGAACTGTTTGCGATGATCGAAAAGATGCAGGTAAGTGGGGGGGGNCCCCCCCCTCTTCCCTATTTGCTGGCACCCCCTGGCACGAAACGAGACACCCAGCAGCCTCCTGGAGCATCCTGATCTCGGGTCCTGCGTGAATAGAAGCCATTGCCCAAAACTGCCTTTTTTAAGGACTGGAAGGAAACTCACCACCACCACTATACCCCACTGCCCCCCCCACCCCATGAAAGAGAGAAAAGAAAAGAAAAGCTAGACAAATGGATGGAAAGAAGAGAATATAAAAGAAGTGGAGATTCAGAGAAACCAAGAGAGAAAATGGTTAGGAAAAGAGGAGAAAGGAGGAGAATATAAAAGAAGTGAAGTTTCAGGGAGACCAAGAGAAAAGGGTTAGGAAAGGTGAAAAGAAGGGAAAGGATTTACCAGTGGAATAAAATGAAATTGTTAATGGCATTTAGTTAATAGGATGCGAGGATAATGTCTGGATAATTAACCTAAGCGAACTGTTTATTAAAATCTGAGGATAGGTGCGATCTATAGTTTAAAAAAAAAGAATTATAGAGGGAAATGAAATGTTAAACTCGATCAATTAGGAGGGGCAAATAACGATACTGTTTCATAAGAAGAAATTAAACCCAAGAGGAAAAATAGGGAAAGAAAATAATCATAATTGGAAATGGAAACCTGATGTCAAATGAACTATGCACATGTTAAAGGGGGGGGGGGAGAGCACTGTGTTTATAAAAGAAGTGAAATATATAACAAAACATTGAAAAAAACTTTGTTTCAGAAAGAGGGGAGGGGGCTCTGTAGCTCTTCTGTTCCTCCCACCCTCTCAACCAGCTGCTAGAAAAACCTTTTGTCTCTCTCAACATCCAAATTGGGGGGGGGGTTGTCCTGCTTGAGTTTGAGCTCGTTCCGTGCCCCCCCTAACTCCCCCCACCGCCAAGCCGCCTCTTCTCTTGGGACAAGGCAGCTCCTGTTCTCCCAGCTGGGGAATTTCCCCCGTGGGAGGGGCAGAGCTGCCCAGTTTTTTTGGGGGGGGAGGCAGTCCGTTGACTCCTGATTCGATGACCCTCTTGGTACAAAATGGGTAGGGGGCTGCTGTGAAACCACCACCCCCAACCAGCTATGGGAATGTGGGGGGGGGGAAAGCTGGTAATGGGGGGGGTTGATTCATTGCCCACCCCCTAAGTGATGTGGCCTGGTTCATCTCATGTCCCCCCCTCCCCAATTCAACAATACTTTTGCTTCCAGATGGGAAGGGAGATATTTCAAATCTCATTGTACATAACGCTGTGCACTGATTGTTATTGTTGTTGTTGTTGTTATTATTATTATTATTATTATTATTATTATTACATACTTTATTCATTAAACATGCATCTCAGCCAACTGAACATTCAAAAATGCATTACAAATACCAGTAACTGGTGCTAATGGTTGATAAGGTTTGCTGCCAGCATTATTATTATTATTGTTGTTGTTGTTGTTGTTGTTGTTGTTATATTTTCAGGGGAAGAGGCTTGGTGCCCCTCCAAAAAAATAGGGCCCCTTTCTTTGCTACCCAGGCTCTGCCATGCCTCACAGGAGTCCCACCTGCTGGGGAGGGTGGGGGGTCCCATCCCAGCTCACCCCTTCCCTTCCTGCGAAATCCCCGTTAACACAGCTCATCCCTCCGTGTCTGCGCCCGGACGGCGAGGGTAGACTGCCCTTGAGGATGGAGGCTCCACCACCATCACACCTGGGATTGCTGCATCCCAGGAAGGGAGGGAGGGGGGGAGGGAGAGGGGGGCTTCCTGCCAGAGCTGCGGGTGGTGCAGGCTTAATCGCTCAATCCTGCCCGCTTCCCTAGTTCAACTCCAAACAAGACGACCGGTTCTCGGGCCGGCTAAACTGGTTTGCAAACTCGGCTAAAGAAACCCTAAACAGGCCTTGTTTGTTTCCCCGGCCTTTGGTCTACACTTGGCTTGGAGAGGGGGGGGCGCATTGGTGCCAAGAGGGTGTGTGGGGGGCTCGTTTGGTGAAGAGGGACGGTGGGCACCACTGTAGAGGCAACCGCAAGATCGCTGGCGTTGCTTGGCTCCGGATGCTGAAGCCGTTGCCTCTTTTCTCTCTCTCTCCCCCTCAGGGTGGACAAGACGACCATCTACCCCTGGAGCCTGCGGTGAGTACCACCCCAGCACGGGGCACACGAGGAGCCCAGCTTGGCTCTAGGGAGTGGGGGGTGGGCAGTGGGCAGCATCGCTCAGAGCTTTTCAGTCAGAAAGCTGGCACAAGATGGCATTGGGATTTTCGCCCTTGGCCAAGCTGAGGAGGGCAGTGCTAGGGTTCCTGGCTGGGTTGGTACATGCACCGTGGAGGAAAGACCCCTCCCAAGCTGCCCCCCAGCCAAAAAAATGTTCCTTCCCTCTGTGGAGGCATCTTTTCCAAATNCTTGAATGGGAAAAGAAAAAGAAAAACTTCAAGGAGAGGGGGGCTTTGAGAGGATCTCTCCCCCCTGTGTAGAAAGGCGAGGGGGGGTCAGGTGTGTATTCACACGGCCACTTCCCTCTTTGCCCCCCCCCACAGCTGGTCTGCGAAGATGTGAACTTGGATCGCTTCTATCCCGTCCTGTATCCCAAGGTAAGAGCGTGAATTGAACTTGGAGGGAGGGGGGGAATGTCCTGATGGAAAAAGCCCCTTCCCCACCGCCTAAGCCCCTCCCGGTCTCTCCAGCAACATCCCCCCCCTGCTTTGCCCCCCTCCCCAGGCCTCCCGCCTGATCGTCACCTTCGACGAACATGTCATCAGCAATAACTTCAAATTTGGGGTGATTTACCAGAAATTGGGCCAGGTGAGTTTTGCGCCTCGTGGCCGGAGGGAGCAGGTGAGGCTGTCAGGGCGTGGAGCCTTTGGCCAGGATGGGGGGAAGGGAATAGAGATTGAGGGGGTCCGGGAACAGTGCAGAGAAACCCCCCCCTCCCCTATGGTTTCTCTTGAAGCGCGTCTGCCCTTCCAGCTTGCTTATTTGGCAAGCTTTTCCGGGAAAAGCTTGCCAAATAAGAGATGGCAGCGTCCTCCTCCCTCCCCTCGCTTCTTCACCGAAAGGCTTAGCTGCTTGTGTGCCAGGAAGGCAGTGCCACCTGCGGCACCCAGCTGGGGAGGGTATCTGTCCTCCCTTCCCCTCCGCCCACCTCCTGTCCGCGATGCAGCTGGCCTCGGCTAGATGGGGTGCCCTGCGTTGCCGCATACCTCCGGAGATCCGGCAGGACGCTTGCTGTGGGCAGAGGCAAGCTTTGAGCCTGAGCCAGACCTCCTCCTGTGCCCCCCACCCTCGGCTGCCTGGGCACGCCACCGCCCCCCACCCCTTCCCTGCAGACGTCGGAAGAGGAGCTATTCAGCACCACGGAGGAGAGCCCGGCCTTTCTGGAATTCCTGGAGTTTTTGGGCGAGAAGGTGCAGCTGCAGGATTTCAAAGGGTGAGTGTGGCCAAGGGGGCACTCTGTGTGTGTGTGTGTGTGTGTGTGTGTGTGTGTGTGTGTGTGTGTATGTGTGTGTGTAGCTGCTCCCCGCCCCCAGCAAATCCTCCGGGGAGGCTTTCTTTTGTGTGTGTGTGTGTGTGTGTGTGTGNAGCTGAGGCAGTGGGGAGGGGGCAGTTGAGAGACAGTGGGGTGGGGGGGGCGTCCGTCCCCTCTTGGAGCATAAGGAGTGTATCGATCATTTTTCTGCGAGTGGACACAGCCCTTGGCTTGGGGGGGCACTTGAGTGGGATGGGCAGGCAACGGGCTCCCCCTGGGCATCGGGGTGGTGATGGGGAGGGGGGCAGCTGAGAAATGGGCTCTTTGCATGCTCAGAGGTGCCTTCAAGCTCATAATCCACAGCGGCCTTTCCTTTCCTCCTCCCCCGGGGCACTTCTGGCGTGCGGGATTGTAGTATCCCTAAAACTCAGCTGGCACAGTCGCTAAGGATGGTGAGGGATGGCATGGGGCATTTTTTAAAAGAGAGCTGGGGTTGGTTTATGGCCACATCTGGGGGGGGGGTGTGGCCCCTGGGGATGTGCCTCAGGCTCAGAAACAGAAGCTGGACGCACGCTCCTCCCCTCCCCCCTCTCCCGTCCCATGCCCGACCGGTGCCAAGCAGGATCTCCGCAATCTCTAGCCAGCCTCTGCCCCAGCCCAGGCGCAGCTGGCGGGCTGCCCAGGCGCGGCTGTTGACTCTGGGGCTGGTCCCCCTCTCTCTCTCTTTCCCCCCCGCCCCAGGCAAACCGGATGGACGAGCAACGCTGTGCCTTCCCCCCTCCCCTCAAGGTAGGTATTCCATCCTTCTTTCCCCCACCCCTCAACCGGGCAGAAATCCCACAGGTTCGGCTCCTTCCACAGTGTCGTAAAGCTTCCTTGGCAAAATCTTGCCAGCCTGAAAGTGTATTTCTGTATACAACCCATGAAACTAGGGGGGGGGGGGGGTTGGTCACCTCGGCCTCTTCCTCGCCCATTATGGAGCTATGCCCTCTCTTGCCTGCCCCTGGCTCAGGTGGCATCGCTTCCACCCCCTCACTCATTCCTCGCCCCCACTAGTCTCCTCCTGTCTGGTCTTTTGGAAGGGGGGCAGTGGGGGCTGCAGCCCCTCAGATCTTTCCCCCGACTTTCCCCCACCGCTTGCTGGCAAAGGAGAGAGGGGATGGGGGGGGATGGGATGGGCGCATGTGTGTATATGCCTGCTTGTGCATTCTCTTTCTCTCACACACACTTTTTTGTGTTTTCTCAGACGGAAGAGGATTACATCCCGTATCCCAGCGTCCATGAGGTAAGGAAGTGTAAGTCTTGCCCGCTGAAAAGGAGACTCCATGGTTAGGAGCAGTCTACCTCAGAGTGGTAGGGGAGAATCGTTGCCTGCCCGTGTTCCTCTCCCCCTTTTTTGGGGGGTGTAGTGAGCCATTGGGCGGACTCTCCTGTCTCTCAGCTGGGGGAGGGACGGGGGAGGACGGAGGGCAGTCTTCCTACCTGCCTGCTCCGGGTTCAAATCCTCCTCCTCCTCCTCCTCCTCCTCCAACCCTTCGGCAGGTTCTGGGCCGAGAGTCTCCCTTCCCCCTCATCTTGCTCCCCCAGTTCGGGGGCTACTGGATCGAGGGCACCAACCACGACTTCGCGGAGCTGTCCGAACTCCAGTCTCCCGGCTGTAAGGTCAAGTTGGAAGGCAACCACTTGGCCAGAGTCTACCGGAAGCATTTTCTAGGCAAGGTCAGTCCCCGAGGAGGGTGGGAGGGAGGGAGGGGGCTTGGGAAGGGGAACAACACCCCCTCATAACCCCACTGGGACCCCCCACCACCAAGAGGCCACTGTGATGCCCTGCGACCTGGGTAGGCTGTGCGCCTCAAAGCGCACTGTTGGTGCAGCCCCCTCCCCTAGAGTCCGTCTCCTCCCGAGTAGCCCATGTCCCCCCCTCCTCTACTCCTGCCTGGAAGGGATGTTTTGGTGCCTCCCAAGAGGGTCAGGAAGGCGGTGGCTCAGTGGTTAAGACGCTGAGCTTGTCGATCGGAGGTCGGCAGTTCAGCGGTTCGAATCCCCCGCACCGCATAACGGAGGGAGCTCCCGTGACTTGTCCCAGCTTCTGCCAACCTAGCAATTCGAAAGCACGTTAAAAAATGCAAGTAGAAAAATAGGAACCACCTTTGGTGGGAAAGGAACAGCGTTCTGTGTGCCTTCGGGAGTTGAGTTATGGCGGCCACATGATCACAGAGACGTCTTCGGACAGCGCTGGCTCTACGGCTTTGGAACGGAGATGAGCACCGCCCCCTAGAGTCGGGAATGGGTAGCACAGATGTGCGAGGGGGACCCTTTATCTTTAAGAGGGTCATCTCCAGTTTTCCCACTCTTTGGTGGGGAGGGGCTGCCTTCCGAAGTCGGGGTGCGGGCTGCTCTGCCCAAGGGCAGCCTTGGGCCTCCCTCCCGCTCTGCCTGGGCCTGCCGGCTTTGGGGAGGAATGCAAAGAACGCCTGACAAGTCGAAGCCAACCACTAGAGGATGAGCTGTCCCCGTCCTTCCTTTGGGCGGAGGGATCCGCGGGGATCCCCCCCACCCCTCAATTGCAGGGCTTCCCCCCTCTTTCCTCCCCCCCCGGATGGTGCCCCTGCTCTGTGTTCATCCCACATGCTGTTTTGTGGGGCTTCGGCACAATGACGGAAGGGGTGGGGAGATTTCTGAGTGGGGCACGAAAAAGAGGGGTGCTGCAGTTTATGGGGATCCCCAGTGTGGGGATTCTTTTTTTGTTTTTTTATTTTTCTCATTCAAATGCATTCACAAATATACACTCTTATAAATGCTATTAACATTTATCTATTAAGCATTAATGTTTATCCCTATCTTCTTACAAAATATAGTTTGGTTCACTTTCTTGTCTCCATTTTATTCTGCAACACCTTTGCTCCTTCCGTCTTCTCAACCTCCCTCCTCTGTCTTCTTCTTTCCTCCTCTTTTTTTCTTCCCCTCTCTTTCCCCCAACCTCCTCTCTTCTCCTCCTTCTTCCCCTCTCTCCTACTCTTACTTCTTCCTTCCTTCCTTCCTTTCTTCCTTCCTTCCTCTGCTTTGCCCTTCCTTCCTTTCCCTCCTCTTCTTCTTCCCCTCTCTTTCCCCCACTCCTCCTCTCTTCTCCTCCTTCTTCCCCTCTCTCCTACTTTTACTTCTCCTTCCTTCCTTCCTTCCTTNTTTAGCACCGATGATGTTACCTAGTTGGGATAATGAAACGTCTGCAAGAAAGCAGCCAAGCTAAGAGAGCACTAAGAACATATCGGGTGCTGCGAGTGAATAGTTGCAGGAACTGGAAGAGAGATTAAATCGTGCAATGTTGATTAGCCTCCGGGCGAGCAATAGAGGACGCCAAAGAGCGATTTCCGTCTCTCTTTACAGCCACCTAGCGGCATTCTGAAATTTTGCAGCCCAGCTCGGGGTCGCCCCACCCAAAAGAGACTTTGCGGCGGAGGCATCCGCGCTAGGCATGGTGGGAGCTGTAGTCCAATACGTCTGGCGGACATCAGATCGAAGCGCGCATCCTTGACGGTCTCCCCTTCTGCCGACAGGGGCCGCTAGATTATTTCACGTTTAATCAGCCTATCAGGAGGAGAGGACGCTCGGGATTGGTGGATGGGGCCAGTGCAATGCAGCAACGGGATGAGAGTTGTGCTGTGATTGGTCGAATTTGGTCCTCGAGCAACGGAGGCCCAAATCCAAGGCGTGTGCCTTCCCTCCGCCCCCTATTTTTTCCCCTTCTAAAATCTCTGCTGAACGCTGTTAATGTGGCTTGCTTGGAAATATTTTTGGAACCTCTCCTTTAGACAAGTTTGAGTGTCGACCAATCATCTCGTGGCCTTGGGGGCTGTTGCTAGGCAGATTATTCTAATGACTCATGGGCGGTCTTTCTTTCCCCCCTCCCCCCCCCGTTCTGCAGCTACCATTGTGAGGTGAGGACAGGTGGGCGGGGATGGTCTGTGGTGAGGCCCTAGGAACCGGCCTGGACACGAAACCGTCACCGAACCCCTTCAGGTAAAATGATGGACCAGCCCGGAGAATGAGTTTGGCTCAGGGTTTCGGCAAGGCCCCATGAAGGGTTTTTAGGGGTTGTTATTTTAGTCGCACCCAAGATGGCGCCGGGATCGGGACAAACCGTTTGCTCCCGCGGGTGGGGAAAGAGGTGTAGGGCGCTGCCATACCCCCCCTCCCTGCCGGAGAGGTACAGTCCGCTTCCCCCTCCCTGCCCTAATCGGGATACCCCATCCGCCCCAGACGGGGGGGAGAAAGAGCTGCCCCAGCTGGCCCTCCCCCCTCCCTGCTTGGTATAGTCCGGACCCCGGCACCTCACTGGACGGGGGGGGTGTTGTTGAAGCCATTTTAATGCCCCCTCCCCAGCGCTGTGGGCCTTTCCCTCGCCGAGGGCTACTCCGCGTCCTTGCGCTCCTGCAGCCTTCGCCCTCCGGCCGGCTGTCGGCTTCCCTTCCCCTTCGGCAACGTCCGAACCCGCGTCGGTTCGCGTTCTCCCCTCCCCCTCCCGTGGACCGAAGTGGTTGGGGCGGCCGGGAGTGACCGTTTTGGGCTCTCGGGGCTCCTCGAGGCGCCCCCCTTTGATTGGCTGGCTGGTGGTGGGGCGGGGGGGGGCAATACAGGAGGGGAGGGGGGGAGTCCCGAGCGCCCTCTGGGTTCGCTGACCCGGATCGTAGTTTGCGCGCGCGCGCGCGAGCTCCCGGGTTGCGTTCCCACGTGCTAATGCGGGCATTGGCAGGTCAAGCCCCGGGATGCACGGGGCTCTTTGCAAACGGCCGGGCGGGGCCGGGTTAAAGGCGAGAGGAGCATGCCGGGTGCTTTTGCACAAGAGTCGGCCGTGGCCGCTGCTCCTTCCCCGTGCAAAAAGGATGGGGCGTGGGGTTAAAGCCCGGGGTTCGTGGGAGACCCGTGTTCCTTTGAAGAAGGGGCCGTGGGCTTGAGTGCACGCGTGGCTCTGAGCTTGGCTTGCCTAGTACAAGGTACGCTGGGAAAAGGGGTTGATTACCGTTTCTCACACTTGTGACCCTTTCTCACACTTGCGACCGCTGCAGCGTCCTCATAGCCACGTGATTGGCATTCAGCTAGCAATAGCACTTAAGTCTTATATACCGCTTTCACAGCCCTCTCTAAGCAGTTTTAAAGAGTTGCCATATTGCCTCCCTCAACAACTGACTCGCATTTATGACCGTTGCAGTATTCCGCGGGTATCGTGTGATCCCCTTTTGCAACTTTCTGATGAGGGAAGTCAAGGGGGAAACCAGATTTGCCTAACAAGCATGTGACTAAGAACTGCAGGGATTCACTTAACTAACGCTGCGAGAAAAGTCATAAAACGGGGCAAAAGGCGCTTAACCAACATCTCACTGAATGACGTAA